GTGGGAACCATTCTCAACAAAACCTGCAGTACAGGTGATGATAAATGGGGATGGAAGTGGGACATGATACCAGAAGCACTGAGAACTTATGGACTAGGAGACATTAGGTTTGGTTATATGTGCTATACGATACTAGCTGGAATTTTACTAATGGATACCTTTCCAGACCCGGATATTTGCTGTAAATACCTGGATAAATGCCAAATGGATTTCGTCTCGTTCTTCATGGAATGGGTGAAAGTAAGCTTGGAGGGAGTGGAAGTGTCAAAGGAGGTCGCGAAGGTAGCAGAATCAAGATATGGTTTGATCAATTCTTTGAGGTTCAGGATGGTTGATGGATCTGTGTTATCTGATTTCCCACCTAACCGAATCAAGGTCTGGACTAAACTAATAGGAGACTGGCCAACCATAACTTCTGGAGGTTGCAGGTTCATGATACAGGCCAGATCTAGGTTTCTAAGTCAGATGGAAGTGTTGAGAAAACTAAATTTCTCTTGGAGATTTGGGTTGGTTTTACCAGAGATTACACAAGAACTGAGGAGCTATGCAAGGTTTGGAATAAGCAAGAGGGAGATATCAAGGGTTGTCTGGACTGAGGAGGTACCAGACTCACAAGGTTTTGAGTTAAAAAGACCAGAATCATTAGTTTCTCCGATGCTCATCCTGAACCCAGAGAAGACTACCTGTCCCCAGATAATGAAGTTTTGTACCCAGAATGAACGAGTGCAAAAGTATGCGATCTGGGAATGGTGTAGGATGAATCCCAATTTGATAGTAAATTTTATCCAGAGGATGGCAAGAGATAAAGAATTCCAAACCAACTACAGACCACTGTATGATGGAATCAGGTTGATCTTCTGGAGGATTATGAACAGACCAACAATCAAGGTACCATTCATTGACGAGGAACAAGACCAGTTACTCCGAAGGCAATTGCTCCGGCAGGAGGCCATGGTAGAGAAATCTAGGATTGAGTATGAAGCTTATGTAAAGAGAGCAGATTATCTCCGGGAGGTCATTGGGTGTGAGGATAAGGTCGAGAGGTCTAGGTGGAGGGAGAAACTTCCTCAGCTCCCAGAGTGGAAGTTACGGAGAAAGAGGAAGAGGGAATTGAGGAAACAGGAGATTGAAGAAGGAGAGAGGAAAATGAAGAAACCCAGATTAGCTCAGGGGAGAAGGAACAAGGGAGCAGGTGGAGATACTCATGGAAGCTCGGAATCGGAGGAGGAGAAGTCGGAGCCAGAAATGAAGGAGGCATACGAAGGAGCAGATGAGAAGGTTCCAAAGTGCAAAAGGATCATCGGAGAGAAGGCAAAGAAGAAGGGCAAGAAGAGGAAATCCAAGGGAGGAGCTCCTACTGATCTTATGAGAATTATAGCGAATACTGTGGATATAGAGAACTACGAGTACCCGGGCAAGAAGCTAACTGAGTGAGATGAAGAGTTTGAAAGAGAAATGAAGGGATGTGATCCAGGAGATGAGTTTGAACTGGAAACCCAGTTCAACGAGTTGATCTGATCTATCGGAGGAAGAAGGTTGATATATATATCGGTTTTGCAGTAATTAAAATTTTTTGTACTCAAAGCTCTGTTCTGATCGGAGGTTATCCTCATATAAATTGCGTTCCATGACCTGGAACATATAAACATGATCAGTTTATTTTTTTGTTAATAAAGAATTATTTTGGATGAATTTTGCCTGATATTATCGGAGTCTGGTCTCCAGAACCAGAGGCCGGCCCGGGAGTGTTTTGTGGAGTTCGGGTTCTGGATCCAGACTTAAAATGCTCCGGAGTAAGGTTCATTGAATATTTAAAACCGTACTGGATCAGGAGAAATAAAAGATTGATAGTAATCTTAAAACCCGTCCTTGCTCAGGTTTATGATTAAATATCCTGAAGGTCTAACTGATACTGGTTCATAAATTCCGGTGATTGTATAGATACATAATATGAATTAACCCTTAAAAGTGTTGTTGAATGATTGCTACGTAATGACGACTTTTACCGACAACTAAGTTTAGTACGCGGTATATATGCGCGCCTTTGTTAAAACCCTCGAGTCAGGGCCGGGTTCAATCATTCTATACAAAGTCATTATTCCGATCCGTTGAAATGGTTTAAAATGAAGATCGGTTTGAGTTAAGATCGAAGTCTCATCAGATATTGTAGAGATACTTGAGGTATAAAAATTTAAGGGTATAATATTGAGTTTCAGTACGAGAACTTGAAGGGTTAGGTTTCTTTTCAGCCTTTCCCGTCATACGTCTCCTTCCAGATAGCAGAGGGATAGGCCTATGGGGAAACTGAGCTATTGATTCGCCCTACATACAGATTTTATTTATTTACCCTATATGTTTTATTTGTGATTAGTTTTATTGCTCATACACATTCTTTGAATACTCATGATTTTAAATATTGTAACAGTTTTTTTTACTTTTATAGAATAAACGCTGCATAGAACTCTGTCTTCATTAGTTCAGTTTCTGTTATATTCTTCTCTACACGAAGACTTCAAGGTAGTTCTATTGAATGATCAGAAATGTATATCTCTAAGGTTTCTCGATATTCGTCGTCGCCGATTTGTGACGAAACAGAGCTTCATGTTGGTGGAGCAGATCAACAGGAACTGGGGCAACAGGGCTTATCCAACCTAGTAGGCAGAGATCGCGGCTTTATCATGCTGGATTTGAGCGATTATGTTGTCTCTGGAAGTGGAGTGCATGACAAACTGGGAACCCTCGGGTAAGCCTGTCTGCTGCTAATTGAGTATCTGCGTCATCATCATAAAGGAGTCAAGAGGCTTCCTGTGTCGGAGCTGTTACTAGTTCAACTGTCCTAACCTGACTGAGCTGGAATGTGTTATAGAGGGGTGAGGCGGGGAAAGAAAGGAGCAAGGGTATTTCAAACTATGAATTCTGTTCGATGAAATATTCTATAGTGATATGATATGATATGTAGTGGTTATGGGGATATAGGGATTTTAGCAATAATTTTTAATTTTAAAATAAAGATTTTATACATTAAGGTGCTTGCATAGGGTGTCCCAATAAACATGGGAATTCAGTGACGAATTCGATATCGTCTTTTCAAATAATTCTTTGATTTAGTATAGTGATGCCTATTGCCTACCGAGAAAGCTGTAATCTGTAAGAGTTTCGTCTGCTATGTTCACATTTTGTTTGTTTATGTTTTGACTGAATACGTTTGTACTTAGTATTTTTTGTAAACGATCGTTAAACGATCGTTTTTTGTTTCGTTTTCAAAAACGATCGTTTCAATTTTTGAAAAAAACGATCGTTTTTAAAACAACCCACTCGTTTTGAACTTTTAGAAAACGAATAGCAATAGTTTTCAATAAAACGATTTGCGACCGTTTTTTATACGATTGTTTTTTTAAAAAAACGATCGTTTTTGAAAAAAATTTTATTGACAATTATGTTAACGATCGTTAACAAAGGGTCGTCGTTAACGATCGTTAACGAAACGACGAATTTTATAAAAATGATCGTTTTGAAAATTGATCGTTTTTAAAAACAAGCGTTTTGAAAAACGATCGTTTTAAAAACGACCATTTTTAAAAAACGAACTTTAAAAAAACTATCGTTTTTAAAAACTATCGTTTCGTTTTCGATTTTTCGTCGTCGTTTTCATAACGAAACGATCGTTTTTCTGAAAAATGAAAACGTTAACATCCCTAGAGGCGTTTCCATAGCACCTGGAAGAAGACATTCAAACCTATTCACCAACTGTCATGTTTCATGGGATACCCTATATGTAATACATCGTGGAAGGAATAAGGCAGAACCCCAATTATTAGAATACAGTAATAACCAAAAAAAATCTGGAAAAAGAAGACGACTGTTAGACTCAATGTTAGATGAACATTATACACAGCAGTTGGGCAGTATTAACAGACTCATTTCCTATTGCATTGTTTTCTGATTTTCGCTGTATACACAGAGTGTCCCAATAAACATGGAAATAAAAATTGAATAATGTATTCATGATTTTCTTTTTCAAAGCTGATTATTTTCAATTATGCATTTTCCCTCCTCGACCAGTTATTTCCTTTAATTGTAAATTAACTAAATGTTAACAGATCTCAGCCAAAAATTCATCCACATTTGAGAATTTTGATTCTTTATATATGGGATTTTGTCAATTGTTTCTTTGTCAGTTTCATTTAAAGTTAAATTGCTTTTAGTTTTGTGTAACTTGCAAAAAGCCTTTAAAATGAAGATTGATCAACAACTTTTCTATTTCTAAAAGTTTTTAAGTTTTTCTTTTTTAATGTTTTTACCTTTTCCTGGAATTTTCTATTTTTATTATGTTCTATGAAACAATTCCCGTTGGGCCTTGAATCCCACCTTTTCAACCTTTTCACTTTTTGTCATTTCACGCAGATTTTATTACCCCCGCCACTAGATTAAAACCTGTATGTAGATAAATTGCGTTATACATTGTCCGTAAATCTAAATGCGTTTTTAAATAACTGTGTAAAACTTATATTACGATTAACCTAACCTAGCTACGTCTGTAAATAACAACGTCAAACCTGTATTGTAATTAGCTTAACTACGCGTGTATATAACGACGCAAAACTTACGTCCATAAATTGTAATATAGAAATCAAAAATATCACTTTGATTACGGTGTGAGAGTAATTGTTTCTTGGTTAGCGAACGAGAAACATCCTGAATCACTTTCTTGAAAGATAGATATAGATTGGGAATTAAATTGAGTTGTAACTTTTAAGACAGATACCTGAGAGTACAGACTGAGTCATATCTGGATTGATGTTGACTATGCTATGTTTGTGAACTTTGAGTTCCTGGTTGAGTTGTATCTTGTAAGATAGATACAACGGATAAAAGTATTTATTGGAGAAGGGCATTTACCACACACCTTCCCTGTACAAGGGAGGGAACCCCCGGCCGCCATGAGCCTCTGCTACGCAGAAACGAGCCTTCCAGATTTGCTATGAGCCTTCTTCATGAAGTTACAAATCATGACAATCAATAAAGTACTCCAATCTTTAGTAAAATTCTTGTGCAAATATGTCGAAAAATATTTTTAAAAATCGTTATTTCATGTAAAAACTAGGAGTTTTAAAGAAGGTCTTCTGTATAGCAGAGGCTTGTACTGCATATCATTTCCGAGAGGCTCGTTTCTGTATAGCTCGGGCTTATAACGTCCAGGGGTTCCCTACCTCTTTGTACATAGCAACATAACTGTTAATCAGCGATGTATTGATATGGAATCATATACGCAATTGTTAAAAAACACAACACAGAAAATATCAGGAACTATCATCTTATTCTGAAAGTGAGCAGGGTTTTCAGACATACAATAGAATATAAACTTATTATATTTTATCCCTTTCATTGTTCAGTTATCATATTTACTAAAATATAAATAAACTATGCTGAAGTGCCGGCGTTAAAGAAAAATTCAAATATTTAAAAAAAAAATTAGTCTATGTTACCCCTGATACCAATGGGTTCCCTGAAAAAATTCCAGCCAATTAGGTTCAGCCATTTGGCCAGCTATATAGCTGATATATAAATATATAAAGGAGCGAAGAGCTTTATTATATTATAGTAAAATAACTTATGAACCATGCTTTGTTCGGAAAAACCAGGTTTACCCTGGAAAAGTCAACCCACTAAATTTGGAATTTTACAATCAATAAATAACTTATTTTCGAGACCGACTAGATATTGATGAAGGACTATTTCTGGATAAAAAATAGGAAATAACATGACTTTATCTCAGAAAATTTAAAATTCTCGGATTTCTTCTAAAAAGTCGCGCCTCAGTTAGCTCAAAATACCTTTTACGCATTTTGTAAGGATTGTTAAAACTTTATTTTTTTTCAAGGAAATACGACATACAGAAATCTACACAACTATGAAAGTTCTGCATCTAATTTTACTAACGGGTCGACTTTACAGTGACGCAACTTTGGACTTTGGTTTTACCTTGCAGCCATCTTTCTTTCTATCGCCAGCTGTTGTGTGGGTTGACCTTTATAGGGCTAACTACAGTCAAAGGTGAATGCCCAAACTAGTATTATATATGTAGCACAGCTTTCAAAACAAATGTTGGAAAAGTAAAAATTTAAATTTAAAATTAGGTCTAATTTTTAAATATAACTTTACTGTATAAAATTTTTATTTAGGATCAGAGAAAAACTCAAAACAAGGAAAACCAATTTACTGAATATGTTAATTTCGTTATTTTTTCGAGTTAAAAATCTAACTCCCCACACAACAGGATGGCCATTCTAGGTATTGATGGATTCGAGTTAAATTAAGAAACTGTAACCAGTTAAAAGAGATGCTTACAAAACCATAAAAATAGTTTTAAAAAGTGATTAACTTCAGCAAGTTGGTTTTCGTAATTGATGGAGAATGGGAGCATTTGTCAGATAGTTCCCAGACTGTCTGAGACGCGCTTGGACTGAAAGATGGAGCCATAAAATGTCTCCAGAAGAAATTCTGTGTCTATACATTCTTTGGAATGTATAATTTATCCAAAGAAAAATGTCATGAAATCGGGTTTACTTTTACTTAGTGGTCGGCGCTTATATCAATACAATGAAGACGACTTTACTATTCAATTTTATTTCTGACAAGCTTTATTCAAATTACAAGTTTACAAGTAAACAAAGCGTAGCTGTTACCTGACAGTTTCTCTTTGTTTCCGTGTTATATGTGAATCCAATATCCATGCTGGTGATAAGTAAGCCTGCTAGAAATAAAAAATTAAAGACGAATTACATATTAATATATACGACGACAAATGTACAAAAACAGTACATAGAACCCATTCATGACAGCGCAGATTTGACGCTTTGAGCCTGAAACAAAGCAAGCAATTATGGATAGTGTTGAATTAGACCAAATGAAAAAAATGTGGAAGATATCGAATTGTTTTTCTGATACAAAAGTTTTTATTTCTGCAAGTTTCTCAATTGCTTCTTATTAGCATGAAATGCGCAGTTCACTTTTGCAGACAAACCGCAAATGAAAATAAACAGTTTAAGGAAACAAAAACATGGATATCTAAATCATGATTGATCAGATAAATTGTATTGATATAATGGCCTACCATTGTGTTAACAACTAGTTAGGAGAAACCCGGCGTTGCCCTGGGTAATCAAAGTTACTTCCGCCATTTAAACACGCACGGTCGATTTACCAGGAAACTAAATTTCAGCTGTAAAAGTCGACACACTCAACTCAACTCAACTCAACTCAACTCAACTCAACTCATCTCATCTCATCTCAACTCAACTCAACTCAACTCAACTCAACTCAACTCAACTCAACTCAACTCAACTTGCCTCGACTCAACTCGACTCAACTCAACTTAATGGAATTCAACTCAACTCAACTCAACTCAACTCAACTCAACTCAACTCAACTCAACTCAACTCAACTCAACTCAACTCAACTCAAAACGAAGTTATGATCAGAAAAACAAGCAGAGTGACAAACAGAGATCACAACTTTATACATTATATATAAATAAATACAATGAACAAATTCTTTGTCCCTAGAGTCATGGTATGATGAGTTAGATGCAGTGTTCGGTTTCTTCAATTTTAATTTAGTTGTGCATTCATCTTTATCAGTTTGTTCTCATTTTAAAATGGGTAAAAAATAAGCTATCGTTTAATTTTTGATAACTTCACTTTTTTTCAATTTTTTCTGTCTGCAACTTGATTTTTTTTGTTTGAAATAACTTAAAATGATTTTCTACAATAATAACTCCCAGCTGAAGGTCCCAGGGTTGCCCTTGGAAAAAAAGATGATAGCTTGAAACAGTATGAGTAAATACATATACAATATAAAATATTTATAGTTAGATTATTCAGTTGAAGTAAATGTCACTTCCTCAGATTTTTGTGTCACCCCGCAGTTTCAATCTTAATTGGATTAAATCTATTTAACCATTCCAGGTATTTCTTAGAACCGTTTCTTCCAAACATTCAAGTCGTGTTGTTTTTTCTTCTAATTAAAATTAAAAGATTGTTGAACTACGGGTACTATTCTCTATGACTTAGAAATCCTTTAAATAAATTTTCATAACACTACCCCCCACCCCTCCAAATAAGGTAATTTTGTGAAAGCCTTCCATCCACAAATAATGAGACTTCAGAGACGACTGTAAAGAATTCGTTCAGTCTTTTACTTCCATTCATGGTTACCAGCAGCTGCACTGCTTCTTTCCTTCAGTTCATGGTTCCCTGCAGCTGTACTGCTTCTTTTCTTCCGTTCATGGTTACCAGCAGCTGTACTGCTTCTTTTGTTCCGTTCATGGTTCCCTGCAGCTGTATTAATTCTTTTCTTCCGTTCATTGTTCCCTGCAGCTGTACTGCTTATTTTGTTCTGTTCATGGTTCCCTGCAGCAGTACTACTTCTTTTCTTCCCTTCATGGTTCCCTGCAGATGTATTAAACCTTTTCTTCCGTTCATGATTCCCTGCAGCTGTACTTCTTCTTTTCTTCCGTTCATGATTCCCTGCAGCTGTACTTCTTCTTCTTTTCTTCTGTTCATGGTTCCCTGCATCTGTACTTCTTTTTTTTCTTCCGTTCATGGTTCCCTGCAGCTGTACTACTTCTTTTCTTCCATTCATGGTTCCCTGCAGCTGTACTGCTTCTTTTCTTCCGTTCATGGTTCCCTGCAGGTGTACTTCTTCTTTTCTTCCATTTATGGTTCCCTGCAGCTGTACTGCTTCTTTTCTTCCGTTCATGGTTCCCTGCAGCTGTACTGCTTCTTTTCTTCCGTTCATGGTTCCCTGCAGCTGTACTACTTCTTTTCTTCTGTTCATGGTTAACTGCAGCTGTACTTCTTCTTTTCTTCCGTTCATGGTTCCTTGCAGCTGTACTACTTCTTTTCTTTTGTTCATGGTTCCCTGCAGCAGTACTGCTTCTTTTCTTCTGTTTATGGTTCCCTGCAGCTGTACTGCTTCTTTTCTTCTGTTCATGGTTCCCTAAGATGTAGTCCAAATATCCCAAATAGGTCCAAATAACCCTGTGGGACCGATAACCCTACCCCCTAATCCCACCAACCCTCACGTCCCATATGGTACATCGAAGAACCCTTAAAATTTAGTCCCAAAACCCGTTTGTTACATGCAGCTGTACTGCTTCTTTTCTTCCATTCATGGCTCCCTGCAGCTGTACTGGTTCATTTCTTCCGTTCATGGTTCCCTGCAGCAGTACTACTTCTTTTCTTCCATTCATGGTTCCCTGCAGCTGTACTGCTTCTTTTTTTCTGTTCATGGTTCCCTGCAGCTGTACTTCTTCTTTTCTTCCGTTCATGGTTCCTTGCAGCTGTACTACTTCTTTTCTTTTGTTCATGGTTTCCTTGCAGCAGTACTGCTTCTTTTCTTCTGTTTATGGTTCTCTGCAGCAGTACTGCTTCTTTTCTTCTGTTTATGGTTCCCTGCAGATGTACTGCTTCTTTTCTTCTGTTCATGGTTCCCTGCAGCTGTACTACTTCTTTTCTTCTGTTCATGGTTCCCTGCAGCTGTACTGCTTCTTTTCTTCTGTTCATGGTTAACTGCAGCAGTACTGCTTCTTTTCCTCTGTTCATGGTTCCCTGCAGCTGTACTGCTTCTTTTCTTCTGTTCATGGTTCTTTGCAGCAGTACTGCTTCTCTGTTCATGGTTCCCTGCAGCTGTACTTCTTCTTTTCTTCCGTTAAACATAAGAAAGATTGTTTATGGAAGTTTAATAAAATCTCAATTAGAGTATTCTATTTTAGCATGGGGGTCATCAACAAACAATAAAATAGGAAAATTATTTAAACTTCAAAAGAAAGCAATACGGATAAAATGTCAGATAAAGGATGTTCACAGCATACAGATCCTTTGTTTTCCAAATTTGGAATGCTTAAATTATCTGATATACACAAACATAATGCTTCTACTTTTATGTATAAATATTTAAAAGAAAAAGTTCCTTCGTCTTTTAATGTAATGTTTGCTCCATTTTTAGAACCTAATAGGACACAAAGTTTTAAATTGGAATTAATAAGAAACAAATATCTTAAACCTTTTCCAAAAATATTTCTCACGAGAATTTTGAATAGTGTTCCAATGAATATTAAATGTTCATTATCATTACTTAGTTTCAAAACGAATAGGAAAATATATCTGGCTTCTAAATATAAGGAATTTAAATGTAAAAACAGGAACTGCTACTCATGTAATTTGAAAATCTTTTAAACCACTCTGTAACATATTATCTACAAAAATTGGATTTTTTAGTGCTGGGGTTTCTCCTTCTCTTCTCTTTTTCCCTTTGCTATTCAACCATCCTTCTTTTTTTTCCTTTTTTAAAAATTACGTTGTGAATTGTGTAATGTATTCGTTATTTGTTAAGGGAGGGAGGGGGGGGGGGCATGAAACGTATTACTCGCCGGAAAATTTAAACAGTGTTTAAACATAACTTAGAATTGTTGTAGGAGGCTGATTTTATGTATATTACATGCATTTTTTGGTTTTGAAGGAATCTGAGCAAAAGTGCTCGTGAAAAAATGCGACAGTAAATCAATGTTAACTTCATTAATTGCACTCGAACATTTTTCCTGCCACTCTTGAAACAAATATGCGCTAAAAGAATTCACCTCCACAGGCTTAAATGTCCGCGCGCGCGCGCAATAAAAAAATGCTAAGTTTGGCCAAAGTTAGAATAACAGTTGCATGAGATACATCAAAATATAGTAAAATTGGGACAAGGAATTCATTTCCGAGGTCAAAATAGACATTGGAGCATTCTGACCGGCACGCTAGTAGCCAAACATTACATTATGGGTCATCTTAGTATATTTTTTACATGTTGTATGTCGATTTATGGGTAATTTGGCATGAGGAATTCATTTCTGAGGTCAAAATAAATATTCGAGCATTCTGACCGGCGCGCTAATAGCCGGCATTTACATTCCGGGTCATCTTCCCACATATTTACATGTTGTATGTCGATTTAAAGGTAATTTGGCACGAGAAATTCATTTCCGAGGTCAAATTTAATATTGGAGCATTCTGACCGGCGCGCTAGTAACCAGCAGTTCCATTATGGGTCATCTTACCACATATTTTACATCTTGTATGTCGATTTATAGCTAATTGGGCACAAGGATCCATTTCTTAGTAAAAACTTTTGTAAGACTTCTCTGATCGACGTGCTAGCAGCCAGCAGTCACCTTCTGGGTCATCCTGTCATATGTTTTGCATGTAGTATGTCGATTCTGGGGTACTAGAAACAACGATTCTCTTTCTTAGGTAAAAAAAATTAAGTTTCAGGACTCTGATCGGCGCGTTGCTGGCCATAGGGTAATTATGGGTTCAACCTATCATAGAAAAATGATTTATTTCTAATATCATTCTTCTTCTTACCATTGTTCTTAAAAAATAGTTTTGTGCACAGGAATGGATTGCTCTGATCTAAATACCTATAAAATTACACACAACATGAAAAACTATGATAGGTTGAAGTCTTATCAATATTTTTGTTTTAAATCTCCTTTGGGAAAAATAAAACATCACGTTTATACTATAACTTATAACATTTCTCTTTTGCTGAAAAAAAGCTAATTTTTGATACATTTTATTTAACAAATACCAGAAAAACAACACTAGACCATTTTTGATAGTTTTCATACAGGGTGTCGATATCGTCTTTTTAAATAATTCTTTGATTTAGTACAGTGATACCTACTGAGATAGTTGTAATCTGTAAGAGTTTCGTCTGCTATGTTCACATTTTGTTTGTTTATGTTGTGACTGCATAAGGGTGTAATTAGTAAAACAAGAAAATTGCAGTATACAAACAGAGTAAACTTGTCCGTCTTCACTGTTCATCTTGCGGAGACATTATAGACACATCTTTACAGTCTTTTACCCTGTTCATTAAGTAAACTCTAGCAGACAAAATAATATTATGGCTTTTGAAATTAGGCATTACAATGCTAATTAATAACAAAGACGATATCCAATTCGTCAATGAATTCCCATGTTTTTGGGACACCCTGTACAACTTGGGTTTTATTAAAATGAATTGGTTGATTAAGCTTTGATATATATATGTTTATCTGTAAATGGATTAAAGGACAAATATACATCTATGTAAAAATAGACAGGGTTACAAGTTACATTTTTATTTTTATTATCACATACAAAGTTTACTGACAAATACATAGACATTGATATATATTTATTATTTTATTTTATTGTTTAAAATAAAATTTTAGATAGGAAATTTAAATACTTTGATAGCAAGGTAAACGTATTTTAAAAAGGAATAGAGATCAAAAGAATTATTAAAATTCAGTTATTCTTAAGCGTAATATTATTGAGGGCTTTTAAACAATAACGTTTTTTTTCAAAAATAAACAACATCAATAGAAACATTCTAACATATTAAAGAACACAACCATTTTATTTTTCAAAATTTTTCTGTCTTTATTCTTTTGTTTTTGGAGAAAATTTTGTTTAGTTAGACATTGTTTAATATCTGCCTGTTAAAGAAGTACTCTGAGTGTGATCGTACCAGAACAAATTTATCCATACTTGACTGATGCTTCAAGGAGTGACGAAGTTTTAAAATCTTGAATCTAGGATCTACTTGAACCAATGTCAGCTCCAGTGGACTCTCCTTAATCACGGGCCTAGGTCCAGGTGATGCTACTGTGAATTCTACTTGTCTTGGCTCTTCATCCTGTACCGGCCCTGCCTTTCTGGCCTGGCTGGGCCCGGAGGCGTTGGCAGCTCCTGCGCTTGACTGCTGCAGAAATGATGGCTCCGAGTGTTGCGCTTCTGAGCTGGTCTGGAGCCTTAGCTGAGTTGTGGTCAGATCATTGAAGCCCTTTAACGTCTGATGCTCATCAGAGGGTTTGTTGTTCCTTGTATTTTCTACGTTCCTTATTGATAGTCTTACAGCGACTTCTCCCGTCTGAAAAACAGCCAACATTATAAAAGGAATAAAAATGGCAATATGTGACACAAAATAGATAATATTGAAATTTGAATTTAAGAATATCTGTTATTTTACCTGATTGTTTAAGGATGGAGTGCACAGAGCAAATAACTGTCCAGGTAGTTTCCTAAATCACATATTTAGTTCAAAGGTTCAAAATATTTAACATTTTCTGTTCAATCACATAATGGACTTGGATTTTTATAATTGTGCTAATGGTACTTACTTGAGTTCAGTTGATAAGTTTGTGTTGAAGAATGCGTAGAGGATGGGATTGGTGCAAGAGGACGACATTCCCAAGAGGTGAGTGATGTAGTAACAGAGCATCAGGGCCTCTGAAATGTCAAAATTTATCAAGATATTGTATTAAAAAAAATTTAAGTTTAATTCAAAAATGTCAAAAGTGTTCTTATTAAGGTTTGTTTTTTGATCTATTTATCTACCTGAGTCTTCAAAGAGATCAAAAGCTTCAGATAGCATAGAGAATAGTGAGAACGGCAGCCAACTGGAAAGAGATAATTATAATGTTTACTACTTATGTTTAAACATAAAAAAAAAAAAATTTTAATCATTTTGGATTTTTCTCTAAAAATTTTTTACCTGACGCAGAAGATAACAGAGATGAAGAAGAAGATGATACTTGTTCTCTTCATTCTGTTTCTCTGGTTGGTCATGCTGTACTGGTGAAGCTAAACATTGAAAAATATTAATGGTTTTTTGGAAAAAAATATGAGAAAATGCATCCAAACATATCTCCTCGGAATAATAAAAATTAAACTTCAGTGGTAGGCGATTATATCAATACAATGAAAACGAATTTGATTTCAATTTTGATTTATATATCAGGCTGTTAATCAGCAAGGAGACATAGAAACATAAGTCAAGAAAACTGTCAATTAAAAAAATATTTTGTCGATTATACATAAAATTGTACTTCAAAAAAACCTTGTTAACAATTAAAACTTAAAAAAGAAGTATTTTTCACTGTACTGATATAATCGCCTACCTGTATTTGGGCTAGATGCTTTTGTACGGGTTTAAAGTGATTAAATTGATTTTTAATCTTGCAAAACATTGGTTAATTTGATTTGAATATCTATAGCATACCTTGATATACTTGTAGATCTTAGTGTAGAAGACTATGATTACAACCAAGGGCAGAAGGAACTGGATACCGAAGGAGAACAGGGTGTAGCTAAATTAGAAAACAATGAAAAACAAGCTGGTAACAATCTTAGGGACTTATCTAGGATTGAGTGATGCTAAAAACTGGGAAACTTTGAATTCAAGAGCTTAGCTGAGGCTCAACTAATGTCGGAACATTTTAATCTACTTTATTTAATATTAAATTCTGACTTCTGATCAGATAAAGAAAGTAAAAGTTAAGACCAAACTTTGGTTAAAAATACACAATGAACATCTCTAGATGTCGAATTAGAAGTTCCTAGCTTTCAAAGATTAAATGTGAAAACAACTTTTGTTAATGTTTTGCTAAGATTTAGCAAGATAAATAGTATTACTAAAGGTTAATAAAATAACTTACTTTAACCTATCGTATTTGCTCATAGGTTTGCCATCATTCCAATCCTCCACACAGATTAAGATTTCGGAAAAGAATTCTTCGTGCTTGTTGACCACAACTCCCTGATTTTCCTATTTAAAAAACATAAAATCAAATCCATGTCAAATTATTGCTGGCTTAAATGCATAAAAGAAGCTTTACTTTACATAATTTTCTCTTGTGTGGTTGAAATAACCTTTTTCTATTCAAGGTTTTATCTCATAAATATTTAATTTTCCCACTCTGTGCAGGATTCTAAAAGCACAAATTTGGAAACAAAACTTGAATTAAAGTGATAAATTGAATAAGGTTTACCAGAAGCTGTTTGAGCGTAAAGAGTCGGGATTTCACAAACAGGATAACAGTTGCGGCAATGGCGAGCAGGAAGACGACTGGGTAGATCAGACATGCCTTTGTTTTGTTTATCTAGAAATTATGCAATTGATAATTGAGTTAGAACATAAGATAATCGGGAGTCATTTTTTAATTTAGAAAAAAACTTATGAAAAGTTTACCTGAGATCTGGTTGGTCTGCAGATGACGTAGTACCGATCTATGGCGATGGCGACGATGGTGAACGAGGACATGAACACGGCCATGTTTGGAACAGTTTTCACAATTCTACAAAAAACTGAAATTTTTACAAATTCTTTTATAATGTTTATGTTCTCAATCTTACCAGATAATGCAAATCCTGGATAATGTTTATAGTAATAATACTAAGAATGCAAAAGAGATGAATTCGATGAATTTTAATTTAATGGGAAAAGTCTGTTACATTACATTGGTATTTTAATTTTTCTAACCCCCTTTCTCATTCTTGAAATTTTTGTTACATAAACAATTTTTTTGCATTCTTTCATTAAACTTCTTATCACATTGTTAAGCGTTTCAAAGAATAAGAAGATTTAAAGGGAGTGTTTGCGAAAAATGAAAAGGGGTATAGGCTAATCCCGAATTGAATTCATTTTAGATCGCTAATAATTTTACTTCTATCTGTCAGAAAATACTTTTTGTTTTTTCGCAAACACTCCCTTTAAAGTCCCCGAAACAATACCTGCACATGAGAGGTGAGTCTCCAAGAACCCAAGACCTGGTCAGACCGTCTGTGATTGTGAGGGGGATGGAGCAGGCGGAGAGTATATCTACAGAAAATAACTTTTAAAAGGACTGTAGGCGTACTTTTAAGTGAATCTCTTTCCTAAGGTTGGACCGATTTACAACAATACTTTTTTAACTTTGCTCTCAACAAAAATGTGGAATATATTGTGCTTTTTTTGCTTGACAATTCTTTATCCCAACAAACAAGAAGAAAAAATCCTTAATTCACATTTTTAGAGAAACCAAAATTGAAAATAATCAATTTTTAAATTTAAAGACATCAATATCTCATTCATTCTTTGCCATTGAAAGATTTAAATGGTACCGTTGCGAATAGGACACTCTAACAATGTGGGTTTGTGTACAGTTCCTTTAAACAATCTAATTTTCTCTTTTTAATTAGACACAATCGTTATATTTAGTTTCTTGTCCAAGGTCTTGTCATGCAACGATTAAGTTAGAATCTGTTAATAAAGTTTTCAATTAGTTATTATTAGGCTTTTAGGATTATTTACTGCACTTAATGTAACTGAAGAATTATGGGGAGGAAAGGGGTGAGGAGGGAGAAGGGAAAGGGACTGGGGAAGGGGTTTTATACCTGAAATAGCAAGATGTAAGATGAAGATGTTTCTAGTTGTTCTTAAACCCTTCTTTAGAGCCACCACAAGAACCACAGAGAGGTTTCCCAGCACTAGAAATATAATTTCAGATTATTTTTTCGAATACGAAATATTCATCATTAACATATTTGCAAAGTTTGACTGAATAACACTATATTTCTTATCTAGATATTACAAACATGTTTTTTTAAAACTAAATGTTTTATTACTTGAAACACTTGATCAATGCCGTTTTTTATTTTACTGGTCCATGGTCAAAATCCCTTTTTTTACTATTAATATTCACAAAATCCCTTATTTTACTGATTATACCTACATTACACAATCCCTTATTTTACTGTTAATATTCACAAAATCCCTTATTTTACTGTATATATCCACACAATCCCTTATTTTACTGCCTATATCCAAAAAAACCCTGAAATTAGTTTTTATATCCACACAATCTCTTTTTTTTACTGTTAATATTTACACAACCTTTTATTTTACTAAATATATCCACACAATCCCTTATTTTAGTAATTATATCCACATTTTCTTATTTTATTGTATATACAGGGTGTCCCACGAAACATGACAATAGGAAGACGACTTGAAAGTCGTCTTTGGTATTTGAATTTATTTGTGACATTTAGTCTTCTANCCTTAAATTACCTGCAAATGTTGTGAGGAGGATGTACAGGGTGAGAATGATGGAGAAAACTGGTTCTGGGACGAGTATATTAGACCTAACACAAGAAGCATATTAGAGGGACAGTGGGAGTAATTTCAAGTGACATTTGTAAAGGAGAGTTTCCGATTCACAACAGTACCATTTAAACCTTCGACTGATTAATGAAGACGAACTTATTCTTATGCTTGTAATTGTTAATAATTTTCTTTGCAAGCTGTAAGTTGACACATAAAATATTTTTTTTTCAACTATATGGTAAAAAATATTTTTTACTTGTTAAAGGACGCTGCAATTTCTTCAAGAGCCGGAGACACATTTAGTCCTTGTTCACCGAGCACAGAGTCCTCCAGGGTTTGGTTAAAGGACTCGTTCATTTCTATATTTCTATATTTCTATTTCTGGAAATGAAAAATTTTAAAATTTGAATAGAGAGCAGTGTGAATGGGATCTGAGTTTATATGGTGAAACTTAATCCAGGCATTCATGAAAACATTTAAGGAATGGTTTCCCACTTTAAGTTTAAACTAAAGGCATTCATATTATTGTTTGTACTATTAAAGTGCATTTAAAAGTCAAATTTTTAAACTTATGTTTTCAAAAATCATTTTTTTTATATTTGATGAAATTTTAGTATCTATATTAATGACTTTTGCTCTCATAATTAGATTTTTGAATTTAATAAACTTGTTAAATTTTTGACCAGCAAATCAAGAAAAAGTAGCGAACACTTCAATAAAAGACATAGTTAGTAATTTTAATTTGTTCTTGTTATTAAATTAGAATTATTTTATATTGGTTATTTTATTCACAGTTATTGTTATTGTTATTATTTCTGTAATTTAATGATTCTTATATATTATAACTGTTATGGTTATCATTATCATTATATTTTTTTTCAAAATAATTTTTAAAAAGTTATCGGAGCCATATTATGGATGCGACTTTGTTTGACGGAGTCTAAAGAGCGTCTGAAGAATGATTGCATTTCTCATATGGAGGCTTTTTTTACAGATGTGGAGGACTCAGGAGAAGGGAGGAGGCGGGGGGTCCATAGAGGAGGCCTCCGTGGGATTTATTTTCTAACCGAGTTTACCAGATAATGTGCGGTAAACTAATTCTACTTAAGTTTTGTTTTGGTTTAATTAACCTTATATTAGATCTAAACGTCTTGTTCACTATCTATGCCTTCTTTTTGCACAAAAACTCAACGTAAATTGTAGTAACCTAAAGGGACTGTAACCGTAATTTCAAGTGACCCTACATGCCGAGATGGCAATGTCCAATTTACAACGGTACCCTTAAAAGCTTTGTCTGATCAAGTATAAATCAATCAATCTGTTTTTTTATTTGAAAAGTTTAACTACATTTGTGGTTTCTCTTCAACAATGGAGAAATTCACAGCTAAAAAAACACATTTTTTGAGTCAGAAAAACGACGTTATCATCCACATTTTCAGTTAGAAGAAATTTTCAAGGGTACCGTTGTGAATCGGGCATTGGTATTCTTGCATGGAAGGCCACATGAAATTTTCCGTGCAGTCCCTTTGAGTAAACATCTCATGACATATTAAATTAGGTTCTAATGACATGTTAAATTAGGTTCTAATGGATCAAGAACGGAAATTTCCAATTCTATAAAAACTAATTAAAGATAGATGAATAATCTTCATTGTGAACATTGATATTTTGGCCATAAAAAAAACGAGTAATATTTCAGGAATTAATTTATATATCAGTAAATATACATATTCATGTAACCAACCCTGCACAGGGCAGGCACACATTTCAGATTTTTATTTTCAAAGGTTATATTTGTCTGCTTCATTCAGAAATAAGTGCATAAGCCTGATCAAAGAGCACTCTTTAAAAAAATTCGAAGTGCAAAAGTCAAAATATTTTTTTCGTCTATTCATTCAAAAGTAAAATTACAAATACTTCCTTACAATAATTTTCTTCGAAAAATTTAGAACTTAAGGACAAAAAAAACAAATTATAATATACAGTGATGAAATTGATAGTTTAATTATGAATTTAATGCATAGATGTGAGGATAAGAAGTTATGATTTATTTTGCGTGAGTCGAAAAAATCTGTACTAATCTAAGTAGCCTTAAAAATCCTTAACGAACGAAAATAATCGCTCATAAAAAAATTTTAAAAAGCGCAGAGTAAAAACGCACATGCTCTAACATAGCGACTTTCGTAAAGTTTTCTTCATTGAATAATATTTTTGTATTGTTTTGATGTTTTAATGGGTTTTGATATTTTTGAGTGTTGTAACTTATGAAAAAACAGAAAATACCGAAAACAAACATTGGAAAGTAGAATTGTATTTCAATGGATGCATTGGATAAATTGGATCCATTGGTTTAATTGTTTGTGTTTGTGACTCCATGGTACTTCAAAAAGAAGTTTAGCGGAGTTCTCTGAGCTATAAACTTTAGAATGGTGGATATCTTAAGATTAATGCTAAAACTTTTGGTTTTACTCAAAGACTTTGCAAATTATAAAGACGAGGCGTTGGAAATTTATCCAACTATTGTTGTCGCCTGTACAGCTGTATTTTGACGATTGGTTATTTTGGTTGTTTGAGAGTCTAACGATCGACATTAAAACCTTAGATATTTAACACAATTGTGAATGTTTTATGCTAAAAACTAACTAAAATTAATGATATTGATAAGTATTTTACAATCTAATTAATCATTTGTTGGATATGAGGATCGTCTGGTGAATTATAGCTGAATTTGTTATAAAGTTACGCATCTCTAATGTATTAAAAAATAGCCAATAATTGTTAGTGAAAATTTCAGATGTCGTCAAATATTTTTCTGAGGTTCAATGGAATGGGATTTTAGGCAATGAAGAAGAGAGGGGACCAGAAATTTCCAATATTATAAACGGTAAATAATTTTTTGTAAATGTCGTCTTCTGTTTAATCTTAGGCAAAGAAATAATATCGCATAAATTAATGTATTAATCTTACTCTTCAATTGATTTAGGGGGATTTTGTTTCAAAATATTCACCATTAAAGAAAAAACATCACAGAAAGTTTCGTTAAAAATGCGAATTAAAGGACGACCTTTTAAAGTTATTACAAAAGGTGCGAGAAGATATTTATTTCAAGATATATAAAAATATATGTAATTATGTAAAAATATAGGGTAGCTCGTGTAGACCAGTATATAGGCCTGAAATTATCAGCATAGTCTTGCACTGTGCAGATATTGAAGGTTATATTAAGGCCTGCTCGACTCTACTACTATACAGTATGATATGAACTTCTGTCGAATAAACAACTAAACAACTTAGATTGAAAAAGGTATTTTAT